TTCCAGTTCTCTCAGACTGAACCCTCATCGATGTTGCAAGCGGTTCAGCGCCACAGAATTGGAAAATTTGGAAACATGGATTTTGCAAGGTTTTCCTCCGCCGCACCAGCGAGGTTCGGCGCCTGAGAATGGGGAAAAATGGAAAATTGGATTTTACAGCGTTTCCTCTCTGCCGCACCAACGAGGGTTCGAGAATTGGAACATTCCCATCTGCCGCATCAGCGAGGGTTCGTACCCAGAGACTTGGAAAAATTAGAAAAATTTGATTTTACATTGTTTTCACCATGTCATATCAATGAGAGGTCGGTTCAAGACAACCGCGCTACGCTCCGCCTGTGGACCATTGCACAGGGTGGCGGGATCGATCCACGGGCTTCAACAGCAACGACATTGAGAGCGAGAACCCTCGCATGAGGATGTGGTTGCGGGCTCGCTATAGCAAGATGCCCGTGCTCAACGCAGTGGCCAGCGATGCAGTTGGCGCTGCAGATCAGCACGGTGCACCTTGTGCGGAAGAGCAGCTGATGCCACTGCCCGACCTTGCTGAGTATGCCCACTATGTCAACCCAGGAAGTTCGATGGCAATGGCGATGAAAGCGTTTGCCGATGCCCACGGTGGATCGTATGTGCTGTTTCGTTTCAATTGACGCTCCCATCGTGCATCGCGCGGGCACCCTTGTGCAGTGCGAGTGCTAGCGCGACATGGGTTCTACCTTGCCCGTGCCCGCGACGAGTCGCACGCGCCGTTTCGCTTCCGATTGTTTTCAATGGTGCGGCATGCAAGCTCCCATTGCACAATGTGGGCGCTAGCGCTGACTAGGTTCAATCTCGACAGCGGTGCACACGAAAAGATAGAACGACGAGAAACCCTGCAGGGTCCTTGGGGGGGGTACCCATATACACATATATGTGCATTTGCATACACCCATTCATACAGACATACATATATATATACAGACAGGCAGACAGACAGACAGACATGCATACATACATAAATGCGTGCGTACTTACATACATACATACAAACACACATGAATACGTACGCTTATTTATATACGCATGCATACATGCACATCTACGCGCATATATGTATACCCGACTGCAGACATACATACACACATGCATGCATACATACATACATACATGCATACAATTCGATGCATGCGTACAAACATGCATACATGCATGCATGCACGCTTATATACACACACACCTACATTCATACATACATACACACATACATACATACATACATACATACATACATGCATGCATACATACATACATGTATACATTACATTACATACATACATTACAAACATACATACATACATACATACATACATACATACATGCATGCATGCATGCATGCATACATACATACAGACATGCATGCATGCCAGCATACATACATATTCACATATGTATATATATATATATGCACACATACATACACACATGCATGCATGCATGCTTGCATGCATGCATGCATGCATGCATACATACACACATGAATACATACATACATACATGCATGCATGCATGCATGCATGCATACATACACACATACACACAAACACGCAAACACACATACATGCATACATACATACACACAGTCGTACACACATTCGTACATCCATACATCCATCCATTCATCCATACATGCATGCATGCATACATACATACATACATGCATGCATGCATGCATGCATACATACACACATACATACATACATACATACCTACCTACCTACATACATACACACATACATACATGCATGCATACATACATACATACAACCATATGTTCGCGGGCTCAGGGCCCACGGGCACCCCCCCCAGAAGGGATGGGTCCCAGGGTCCTCGGGGCCCCCCCCAGATGGGATGGGGGGAGGGAGGAGGAGGAGAAGGAGGAGGAGGAGGGGGGAGGAGGAGAGGGAGGGGAGGAGAGGAGGAGGAGGAGGAGGAGGAGGAGCAGGAGTAGGTGGACGACGATGACTATGACGACGACGTCGACGACGACGACGACGACGACGACGACGACGGCGACACCGACAACGACGACTACGACAACGACGACGACGACGACAACGACGACGTCGCCGGCACCACCAGCGGCGGCGGCGATGACGTCGAGCACCAGAGCTGTCAACATGACGCCAATCCCAGCCACACGCCGCACCCATAGGGGGGGAGGGAGGGGGGGAGGAGGACCATGGCGTCATCCCGCACACACCCACAGCAACACACCACACCAACACCACATCCACAGGGGGGGAGGGAGCACCACGCCACGCCCACGCCCACAGGGGGGGGGGGGCATCGCGCGGGGGGGGGGGGGCCCGATGGCATTATTGGGGGGGGGCCCAAACCCTCGACCATACATACATACATACATACCTACCTACATACATACATAGATACATACATACATACATGCCCACCTACGTACCTACCGACCTACCTACCCACCCACCTCCCTACCTACCTACCCCCCCCCCTCCCCCGTGGCGGCGCATGTGGCGCCGCCCCTGGAGCGCTCCGCGCGCCTCGGAGGGGGGTCCAGCGCCGAGCCAAGGCATCCACGCGGAGCTGCGATAGTCTTGTATACATGCCGGGGCTGCGTCCTCGAGGTCGGGCATGCGTTGACGGGGGGCTGGTAAATCATGAGAACAGGAAGAGCCACCACCACCACCACCACCACCACCACCACCACCACCAGAACTCCATGGAACTCCGTTCCCGAAAACTGCCCCCTCGAGCTGGTGGCACTCCGCTCTGGGCACTCTCTGGGGGCGCGCCCGGAACAGGGTGCCACCAGCTCGGACAGGGGGAGCGGCCAGCCCCCCTAGCTGGTGGTGGTGGCTCTTTCTGGTGATCGAGGCTCGAGCAGGTTGGAACACCATAATCCAGGACAGCCGCGCGGATCTCCGACAGATCTGCACGCATGCCGCGGCTTCGTCCTCGATGGTCGGGCGCTCGCCGGCGGGGGGCCGGCAGCAGCGCGGGGGAGGGGAAGCGCGCGCCGTTCGTGCCACCACGTGGGCCCGCAGGGGCGGTCCAAGGCCCGTGGTCTGGTGGGGCCGCGCGCCTGCGCAGCCCTCGGGCCCCCGCACGGCCACTGCCCCCCCCCCCCCCCGCCCCCCTCCGCTGCCGCCTGCCCGAGCGCGCCTTCGCTGGCGCGAGGGCGAGGTCTGGGGAGGCTAAGGGAGTCCAGGCTTCGGTCGGGCCCGTCCCCCTACAGGGGGATGTTGGGCGAGAAACAGCAAATGCCCCAACAATACTCCAAACACGCCAAACAGTGATCCAAAAATGGTCCCCGAACGATTTTTCGACTATTTCTGAATTTTCCTCCTGTAGCAGGACAGGCCCGACTTTTTAAGCCCAGAGGAGCGACCCCCAGAGGCCCAGGGAGGGCCGCGAAAACCAGGGAGGGTCCGGGGGAGAGCCCGGGGCTGTCAGCCGGAGCGGGCTCTCCGCGGCTCTTAGCAGAGGCCTCGCGCCAACCGCCCGCGCCCGAGCCCGAGACTTCGGCGAGCTGCCCGTGCCGCCGAGCAGGCCCAGGGCCGATGTGTCGGACGCACCCCCGCCCCAGAGAGTGCCCCCCCCGCTGGGGTCCAAGCAGAGCCGAGGGCCGTCCTGCTGCTGACGGGCGAACTCCTGCACCGTGCAGCCTCTTCTCCTCCCGCTCTTGTGGCGCGGCCCCCCCCCCGCTGGCCCAGACCCGCACTTCAATACTGGGAGAGCGTGCCGTGACTCGCTGGTCGCTTCGTCAATCTGCGCCAGCGGCGCGTACAGATGTTAATTTTAGGCCGGGCATGTCCTCCGACAGGCGGATTTGGGAGGAGAAACCAAAAACATAGTTTTAATAGATACTACATAGTCAAACCACAAAGAATCGAACAATCGTCCTCAGACTATTTCTTTACAATTTTCGAATATTCCTCCTGTAGAAGGACATGCCCGACGTCATGTTCAAGTGGGGAGAAGGGGGCGCATGTCCAGGGTGCTGCGGGGGTGCACGGCTCCACCCCCAAAGGATGTGCGGGCGTTGCTTGAGCGGGGGGCGATCCATGGGGGCCACAGGTTTGCCTCTCGTGCCTCTTTCGTGCCCAGGGGGGCCCCTTCAGGGGCCCTTTGGGGCGCAGAAGACGCACCGTTCTTCACCCCCACCACGTGTGCATCGCCGTCCCATGACGCAGCGCCAGCGCCCGAACCTCATGAGGAATAGCCTGGAAGCCTCGTGCGGCAACTTGAGACCCGATTCGAGTCGGATCCACGTCGGGTTCACGCCGGACGACGTCGGAGTTTCGTGGGACTTACCTCGAACTGACGCTGGAGCATCGCCACGCGAACGTCGACCCATAGCTCACGGAGCTGACGTGTGAACTCGACATCACAATCATTGCGCGTCGCGCGAGGCCTCCATTAAGTTTCCTCGTAGCGAACCACACCCTGCTCGGTGCTGCCGGCCGGTCACCCAAGGTACCTCTGGACCCCGGAGCTCCCTCGACGGAGAGTCACTCCCTGCGGAGTTCGCGCCGCAGATGTTTGCGGCGCTGGCCCCCCCTCGCCCGAGGGGGCCGGGCCTCCGCCCTGTGGTGGGACGCAGGAGCTCCGTGGCGTCGGCGACGCTGGCGGGGTGGCCCCCAAGGCCCATGGATCGACGTCTCGCCGCGGGCCGATGTCTTACTGCAAGCCCCGCGCTCAATGTAAAGCCCCACGGCACAGAAGCAACGAAGAGAGGTGCGCAATGTCTCCGCCGCTCCCGAGGACGGGTAGGATTGGCGAGGATCCCCATCATTGGGCAGCCCAGCCCGCAGCACCCGCCGAGCCATCTGCTCGAGCTCCGAGCATGAGGATGCTGGGGGATGCTGGATAGCCCCGAAAGACAAAAAGAAAAAACCGTCGTGCCAAACCTCCTTTTCGGGCCCCGCAGGTTTCGTTTGGCGGATGCTGGGGGCTCGGACGCTTTGAGAGCCTCGTCCCCCGCCGCAGGCCTTCCAGGGCGCAAAGCAGTCGCGCTCCTGGGCCATCACCACGCCGATGTCGTGGATGAGCCTCGCGCTCAGAGGCCGGGGCGGCGCGGGGGCCGGAGGGAGGACTGGAGGAAGGAAACGGAGAAGGGACGAGGGAACTCCTTCTGTCCTCCTTCGAGACATGTGGCGAATTTCCGAAACCCTGTGCCCCAAAAAGGTTTTCATTTCTTTGGGGCACATTTTCTACTTCCGCCGCCTTCCGCCGAGCTTCCGCCGGCGGAGGCGGCCTCGCTTTACTTCCACCGACCTTCCGTCGCCCTTCCGCCGCCTTCCGCGGCGGAAGAGATGACAACTCCTTCGATCCTCGAAGACACGTCAATTTTTGAAACGCCTCATATACTCCCTGTCGCACCCCTAGACGTGTCAGTAGGGCGGGCCGGGCGTTTCGTCTTACACCTCCCCACCAACTATGATCCTGAAACTGTTCGCACTTGAAGCTTGTGACAGCATCAAGGATGGAGCAGAGGTCGTCGTCAAACTGTGGCTCTCGCCCTAGCGCCGCGCACAATCGGCATACACGTTGCAACAGCTGTGGAGCTCGCCTTGACGCCGCGCACGTCGTCTTTCAAACAGATGATGGGGGTGTAGGCTTTCAAAGGTGGCGCTCGCCATAGCGTCGCGCACATTCGTCTGCAAAGGCTTGAGCTAGCTGCAAGAAAAAAGGGCGGGCCGCATGCAAAATACTGCTCGCCTGGGTGCCGCGCACATTAATCGCCATAGCGGGGCGTGCATCCGTCTCAAAATCTACGAAGAATGTCAGAAGGGTGGGAAACAATTTTATGATTGTTGGTCAAACGGAACTCGGGCAAGAGACCTCGGTAATGTCAAATATCCGGCCCCTCGAACATGTGGTGCTGGACGGGTCCAGGGGGGTGACTGTTTCAAGTGAGTGTAGACGCGTGCAACAGTTACACACGTGGGGGGCGGTCCTTCTCCGAAAAGGAGGTATCGCTGGAAACCTTGTTGGACAGTATGACCATTGCTTTTCGTATTCCAGCTGACGCAGCAGACAGATGCATGGCAATTCCTGTTCCAGGTGGGACGCTCGTCAAAATAGCAAGACTACCTGTACTGGCATTTGAAGGGCAACACTTTCTGGTAGTGGAGAAGAAACTTTGCAGGGACGCATGAAGAGGGGGCGTGGGACGGGAGGGTGTAAGCATCGCTGATGCATCGTTGGTTTACTCTGGCTTCCCTCCTCCTCATCCTCCTCCTACTCCTCCTCCTCCTCCTCCTCCTCCTCCTCCTCCTCCTCCTCCTCCTCTTATGCCTTACCCTACATTCCTCTCTCCTGCTGCTCCTCCTCCAACTCAACGGCCTCCGCCTACTCCCGCTCCCTCTCCTCCACTTGCCGCATCCTCTCCAGAGGGGGGGCTGGGAAGGAGCTGCCCACTACCACCACGGAAAGCGTCCACAGGCCCACTCGGGCCCAGGTCACGGCGGGTGTGGCTTGCGGGGGCCGTCAGATCTTGGGCTGGGCCTGGCAGTCGGCAAGCTTCTCCTCTTCTCCGGTCTCGCTCCAACTGGCTCTCTCCTCTTCCTCCTCCTCCTCCTTCTCCTCCTCTGCCTCCTCGTCCTCCTCACCCTCTGCCTCCTCTTCTTCCTCCTCTTCCTCCTTTACCCCCAGCCTGCCCGTTCCGCCCAACACACACACACACACACTTATACTTCGCGGCCGGTTGAACCAACTCAGCGAGGGCGTTCGCGGGTGGCGCAGAGTTGATATCCCTTCAGCGCGTGCCGATGGGGGGGCAACCGAAAGAGGGTTGCGTGTGCAAAGGAAGGGCGTACACGACTGTCAAGCTTGCTCAATCTCGACCGCCACCACCTGCGTCGCCGCCGTATCGAGGCGTTGCGATCCCTGCCGCAACTCTCACATAGTGCCACTTCAAGCGAGCTCCGAGCGTCGCCGGACCCCAAGCGCCTAGAGCTGGACGAGGCGCCGCCCCCTTGTGCAGCTTCTCCCCCGCTGTGACCTCGCGCTTCTTCTCGCAGCACTACTCTGGTCCCCGACGCTAGGCGAGGAGGGGGAGGAGGGCTACGAGACGAGAAAAGCAAGAAACAGAAGGTTGGAGGGGGAGGAGGACCAGCAGGATGACTTTGCCTGCTGGAAGGGGAGGGGGTCCTCGGTGCCTGCCCACGCTCCCAGCAAATGAGATTCCGACAGTCTGTGCCAGAGCTCACGATCGTGAAGGGGCCCTGGGACACACATACAAATACACACAAATAACAGGATGCCCCATATTTTCCTACATGTTCTGGGTTTTTGTCTGCCCCCCCACTTCCCATATTTTCCCATATTTTCTGGGGAATCGACGATTAATTCCCGGAAAGGGCGCGGGCCCAGGGTTCTCTTTTAGTAGGTTAACCCCCCGGCCCCCCTGCGACTTGGGCCGGCGAAATTATTCTGCAATAAATTACGTGCGGGAAGAGGGCCGGCGGAATTATTTTTGAGGATGTCTCTAGCGAAACGCTTGTTTTTCAATATTTGTTGAGGATGTCTCGAGCGAGACGCTGGTTTTGCAGAGTTGGGGATGTCTCGAGCGAAACGCTTGGTTTCAGAATTTGTTGAGGATGTCTCGAGCGACACGCTGGTTTTGCAGAGCCGACCGCGACACGGAAAAGCGCCCCTCGCGCAGGAATTCCAAGGATGTCTCGCGCGTGCCGCGTCCCGCGCGCGGGTATTTGGATTTCTTGGGATTTTGACAGGATGTCTCGAGCGAAACGCTTGTTGTTCATAATTTGTTGAGGATGTCTCGAGCGAAACGCTGGTTTTGCAAAATTGGAGGATGTCTCGAGCGGTGGCCTCGGGGGGGGCCAGAATTCAAAGGATGTCTCAGGCGAAATGCTTGTTTTCACGTCCCGCTCGCAGGAATTCCGAGGATGTCTCGCGCGTGCAGCGTCCCGCGCGTAGAAATTCAGATGATTTTGACAGGATGCCTCGAGCGAAACGCTTGTCCCCAGCACGTTCCGTAGCGCGTCCCCTTGGCACGTCCCGCGGTGCGTCCCCATGGCACGTCCCTTGGCACGTCGCTTGGCGCGTCCCTTGAAACGTTCTGCGTCGCGTCCTCCTGGCATGGTCCCCTGTCCATTAGCTCTGGGGCAGCTACTATGTGTTCAGGCAGCTCGAGCTTAAGATCCAGATCAGTTCGGTCAGGACTCGGATGCAAAGGAGGACTCGATCCACGATGGCACATCGCAATTCAGCACGGCGCAGCACAGCACAGCCCTCGGCACGGTACATCAAGATCGATACACTCAGCATTGCAATTTGGCACGTTCCTTGGCACGTTCCGTGGGGCGTCCTTTGGCGAGTCCCCCTGGCACGTCGCGTGGCGCGTCCCCTGGCACATCCCGTGGCATGGCACGTTCCATTGGCACGTTCCGCGGTGCGACCCCATGGCACGTCACCCTGGCACGTCGCCTGGCGCATCCCTTGGGACGTTTCGCGGCGCGTCCTCCTGGCATGTTCCCCTGTCCATTAGCTCTGGGGCAGCTACTATGGACTATGTTCAGGCAGCTCGAGCTTAAGATCCAGATCAGTTCGGTCAGGACTCGGATGCAACGGAGGACTCGATCTACAACACTAGAGCACAATCGCGGCATGGCACATCGTAGTTCAGCACGGCGCAGCACAGCACTGATTTCGGCACGGTACATCAAGGTCGATACACTCAGCATTGCAACTTGGCACGTTCCTTGGCACGTTCCGTGGGGCGTCTTTGGCGAGTCCCCCTGGCACGTCGCGTGGCGCGTCCCCTGGCACATCCCGTGGCACATCCATTGGCACGTTCCGTAGCGCGTCCCCTTGGCACGTCCCGCGGTGCGACCCCATGGCACGTCCCCTGGCACGTCGCCTGGCGCATCCCTTGGACGTTCTGCGTCGCGTCCTCCTGGCATGTTCCCCTGTCCATTAGCTCTGGGGCAGCTACTATGTGTTCAGGCAGCTCGAGCTTAAGATCCAGATCAGTTCGGTCAGGACTCGAATGCAAAGGAGGACTCGATCCACGAGGCTACAGAGCGCAGTCGCGCCATGGCACATCGCAATTCAGCACGGCGCAGCACAGCACATCCCTCGGCAGGGTACATCAAGATCGATACCTTCAGTATTGCACTTGCCCGTCACCCAATCAGGTGTCTTTGAAAACGCTGCCATGTGTTACAGTTCTACATTCCTTTCCGGGTTCGTGGGTCGATCATGTTGTGTCTGTGTTTTTTTCCCGGAAAGGGCTTAGGGCCAGGGGTTCTATTTTAGTGTGTTTACCCCCGGTTCTGACGGCGGTAGGGCCGGCGAAATTATTTTGCGATGAATAACGAAGTCGCGTAGGGCCGGCGAATTAGAATTTTGAGGATGTCCCTAGCGAAACGCTGGTTTTTGAAATCGCGATCGATAAATCAAAGGGTGCGGGACACGTTTTGGTCAGGGGAGCGGATTACGTATGTTCCTACAGATTGGCTTTTCCATTGCTTATAGATTGGCCTTCTCCGGGGGCACGAATATGTGCGTTTTTACGTATATTCCTATAGATAGGTCCTCTCCAGGATTACGTGTGTTCCTATACATTGGCCCTTTCCAGGGGCACGAAACCGTGTGCTTTTACGTATGTGTCTATAGATGGGCCCTCTCATTACCTGTAGATTTGCCCTCTCCAGGGGCACGAATACGTGTGTTTTTACGTACATGGTTGAGGATGTCTCGAGCGAAACGCTTGTGTTTCAGAAGTTCTTGAGGATGTCTCGAGCGAAACGCTTGTTTTGTGTTATAGATTGTCCTCTCCTGGGGACCAGAATTCAGAGGATCTCTCAAGTGAAATGCTTGTTTTCACGTGCCCAGGTCTTGAGGATGTCTCGAGCGAGACGCTTGGTTTCACGCCTCCAGGTTGCCCAGGCAGAGGTCTAGCGCCAGGATTTGTTGAGGATGTCTCGAGCGAGACGCTTGGATTCACGCGTCCTCGTCGCCCCGGCGGATGTCTAGCATGAGGATGTGTTGGGGAAGTCTCGATCGAGACGCTTGTTTGCACATGTCCAGGTTGCCCAGGCGGATGCCTAGCATGAGGATGTGTTGAGAATATCTCGAGAGATACGCTTGTTTTCACGTGTCCAGGTCGTCCAGGTGGATGTCTAACATGAAGATGTGTTTGAGGATGTCTCGAGCGAGACGTTTGCTTTCACGTGTACAGGTCGCCCAGGCGGATGTCCAGAATGAGGTCTTAAAAACGTCTCGAGCGAAACGCTTGTTTTCACGTGCCCAGGTCACCCAGGCGGACGTCTCACATGGAGATGTGTTGAGGATGTCTCGAGCGAACCACTTGTTTTCACGTGTCCAGTTCGCCCAGGCGGATGTATGGCATGAGAATGTGTTGAGGATGTGTTGAGCGAAACGCTTGTGTTCACGTGTCCAGGTCGCTCAGGCGGATGTCTAGCATGAGGATTTGACAGGATGTCTCGAGCGAAACGCGTGTCCCCAGCACGTTCCGTAGCGCGTCCCCTTGGCACGTCCCGCGGTGCGTCCCCATGGCAGGTCCCCTGGCGCGTCGCTTGGCGCGTTCCTTGAGACGTTCCCCAGCGCGTCCTCCTGGCATGTCCCCCTGTCAATTAGCTCTGGGGCAGCTACTATGTGTTCAGGCAGCTCGAGCTTAAGATCCAGATCAGTTCGGTCTGGACTCGGATGCATAGGAGGACTCGATCCACAACGCTGTAGGGCACAATCGCAGCATGGCACATCGCAGTTCAGCACGGCGCAGCACAGCACACCCCTCGGCACGGTACACCAAGATCGTTACACTCAGCATTGCAACCTGGTACGTTCCTTGGCACGTTCCGTTGCGCGTCCCGTGGCACGTCCATTGGCACGTTCCGTAGCGCGTCCCCTTGGCACGTCCCGCGGTGCCTCCCCCTGGCACGTCCCCTGGCACGTCGCCTGGCGCGTCCCTTGGGACGTTTCGCGGCGCGTCCTCCTGGCATGTCCCCCTGTCAATTAGCTCTGGGGCAGCTACTATGTGTTCAGGCAGCTCGAGCTTAAGATCCAGATCAGTTCGGTCTGGACTCGGATGCAAAGGAGGACTCGATCCACAACGCTATAGGGCACAATCGCGGCATGGCACATCGCAGTTCAGCACGGCGCAGCACAGCACTGCCCTCGGCAGCAGGGTACATCAAGATCGATACACTCAGCATTGCATGTGCCCGTCACCCAATCAGGTGTCTTTGAAAACGCTGCCACGCGTTACATTTTTATATTCCTTCCAGGTTCGTGGGTCGATCATGTTCCCTCCTGAGATCGGCCCGCGGCATCCTTCAAACAGACCCCTCGCGGCCTTGCGATTCCGGCATGCGCCAGACCGCAAGGCCCACCTCAAGGAGCCACGAGCAATCGAGGAGACATATGAAGGGGCCCTGGGACACACAAATAAATCCTCACAAATAACATAATGCCCATATTTTCCAATATTTTCTGGGTTGCTGTCTTCCCCCCACTCCCCATATGTTCCCATATTTTCCTGGAGATCGACGATTACTTGTGTCTGTGTGTTCTATCCCCTCCTGAACATGGCTGAATGATCAGTCCATACTTTTCGCTCACCCGTTTCGCGAGGGTGCTGACGAGCTCACGACAACCCAATGCGCAGCTCGATACAACCGAACGCTCCTCGCCCCGCCCCCGCCGAAGAGGGCAAGACGTCACCTTCCTCCCGGGCTGCTGAACCGCACGAGACACGAGCCGAGACGAAGTGGGCCAAAATCCGAGCCACACTCGGGCACGCACTAACCCGCGTCGGCCCAGAATCCGGGCTGGCCAGGGCCCTGCCGCGAGGCCTGGCCGGCCGCTCAGCAGCTTCCAGACCTGCGTCAGCGCAGGGAGGAAGAGAAGATTGGCCCTAAGTCGGGCGTCTCCCTCTACAGGGGGATTTTTCAAAAATAGTCAAAAAAGAGTCTGGGGACTATTTGTTGCACATTTTTTGGTTTGTTTTGGAATATGTTTGGAGTATGTGTGATTTTTCGTCGGACATCTCCCTGCAGGGGGACACGCCCGACTCGAGGCTGGCCCCGCGTGGCTCCCGAACCCGCATCAGCCAGCAGGGATTGGCTCGCCCCCGCTGGTACCGACCCTCCGCGCGAGCCCCCCGGCACCGAGCGGGACGGCGCCTCACCGGCGGTCTCCGGAAGATCTTCTCCGCGGTGGGCAGCTTGTCCGCCATCTCCGAGAGCGACAGCTGGAGCAAGTCGCGCGTCTGCGTCCACTCGCTGGTGCACGGCATGCGCCCCTGGATGCTCATGCCGGAGATGAGGCGCTCCTCGCGGCGATGTGGCTGTCCCCCCTCTCCTCCCTCTTCGCACCCTCACACCCGTGTTCCGTCTCGTCCACTCCTCGATCGGTCCTCCTCCTCCCCTCCTCTCCTCGTCATCCTCGCCCCCCTCGTCTTCTCCTCCCCTGGTCCTCCTCGTCCCCTCTCTCCTCCTCCTCCTCCTCCTCCTCCTTCGCCTCCTCCTCCTCCTCCTCCTCCTCCTCCTCCTCCTCCTCCTCCTCCTCCTCCTCCTCCTCCTCTGCCCAAGCAGCACCCCCCCTGTCGCACCACCGCGCGTGCCCGCAGCCCAGGCCGTGCGCTGCGCACGGAGGCGTCCGTGCAGCCTCCCGTCGAGATCGGACGCAAGTCTGTCACAGTGGTCGACGCTGGGGGGCCTTGCTTTTTCCACCGCCACCACAACAAGTAGGAGGGGGGAGGGAGTCCTCCTCCTCCGCCTCCTCCTCCTCCTCCTCCTCCTCCTCGTCCTCCACCTCCCTCCCCCCTCCAACTTCCTGGTGGTGGTGGTGGAACACGGGCCCGCCAGACGCGCGAAGCGCGGCCAGCGGAGCCAGACTTCTGTGCTCACGGCGCGCTGCTTTCAGGATGGAGGGCAGACGCTCTGCCAGATGCGGTTCTCGCCCTGGCGCTGGGCACATTCGCCCCCGAGCGCACGCAACAGTGTCAAGGGTGGAGATCGCTTCGTGCTCAAAAAACGGTTCTCGTCTCGCCTCAACACATTCAAGCATCGAAGGCGGCCGGTTTCCAACATGCCATGTTCGCCATAGCGCCGCGCACATGCGTCGTGCAAATTCTGCTACAGCTTAATAAAGGTGAAGCCTGGTTCGGATTCACAGTGCGGTTCTTGCCTTAGCCCCGCGCATTCCTTTAAGCAGCTTGCAACACTTACAACGATGGCGGACGATTCGTCTTCAAACCGCTGCTCTTGCATTAGCGCCGCGCGCAGTCGTCTTAAAATGTCGCAAACGCTACAAGTATGGAGGGCGAGTCCTTTCAACATGGGGTTATCGCTGTGGTCTTCCTCGGATCTGATGCTTATGAGCTTGAAGGTATGTAACAGCGGTTCGTTGTCGTGGTGGCTTGTTTGCGTGACTCTTGCTCGAATTGAACGACCAGACGGGCCACATTGTGCAACAGTTGCGCTGGTGGTGGAGGGGTTCCTGTTCAAACGGACCTCTCGCTGGGCACCTTCCTGACCCTTATGTTGGCGGCGCGCAGAGGGGGTAGGGGGAGGGGGGAAGGCTTCTTAGAAGGAGGCTGCTTCTTAGAAGGCGCGGGCCTTCGGTCTACAGACAAGGCCCGCGCCTTCTAAGAAGCAGGGGTGCTTCTGAGAAGCCTTCCCCCCTCCCTCTACCCCCCTCTGCGCGTGGCCGTTTCCTGAACCATGCGATCATACAGATTCGCAATCAGTGCCAATCGCTACCAGGATGCAGGCCAGTTCCTTTTCTAGACGGGCCTCTCGTGTGAATGGCAGGCCCACAGGGGCGCTCGTCTTGCTACGAGAGGCTCGCGCTAGTGAGGAAGCTTGAAAGGGCCCTGTGGAAGAGGGGGCATCAGGACGGGATGGTGTACTGCAGCATCGCTGTGGCAGCCTGGGTTTCCTCGGTCTTCCTCCTCCTCCTGCCCCTCCTCCTTCTCCTCCTTCTCCTCCTCCTCCTCCTCCTCCTCCTCCTCCTCCTCCTCCTCCCTCGCGTCTCGGAGCCCGGGCCGGCCCCAGGGGGAACTCCTCTCCGAGGTCGATCTCCAGGTACTCCTGCGGGCCGGAAGGCTGGCATGGGAATCTCCCGCCCTCCGATAGCACCACTGCCAAAGCGGGAGCGAGGAGCCGGAAAAGGGGTAAAAGGAGAAGGGGGAGACGAGGAGGGGGACGAAGAGGTGAGCAGCGAAGGAGGGGAGCGGGAGAAAACAGGAGAGCGAAGATACGGCCAGCGAAGGCGGGGAGCAGGAGGAGGAAGGGGAGGACCTCTCCCCCAACCAATCGGGGACTTCTGAGCCCATTGCTACGCTGCCGAACTTTCGCGCGACTTCGCCCACTAGCCGACACAGGCGTTTCGAAAAGGCAGGACGGGGCGGTGACTCGCCGTGGGCGTCCTCGATATCACACTCGCACACACACAAACAAAAAAACTCCCTCCCGCGCATCGGAGAAAGCTCAAGACCAAAACCTGCGCCGAGCTTCCCTGGAGGAGAACAGCGGCTGTGGGTGAGGGGGGGGCCTCCTGTGCGCCCGCTGCTGTCTCGGCACTCGGCGAGGTCGGGACCTCAGGCCACGCAAGGAGGGCAACGCAACTCGGCCACTGGACTTCACGCTGCGCAGCGTCGCGATGTTGCTCCGCCGCCGTGGAAGATGACAGCTCTCCAGGCCAGGCCGCGAACCGCCAAGCGCGACTATCTTCGCGTCCCCTGTGCGCGAGCTGGAGCAATGAGGAGAGGGATTTGAAGAGTTTGTCTGCGCTCGTGGGTATCCTTAACCATGACCGAAGAACGTGTGTGTGTGTGTCTATGTGTCTGTGTGTTTGTGTGTTTGTGTGTTTGTGTGTTTGTGTGTTTGTGTGTTTATGTGTTTGTGTGTGTGTTGGTGTGTGTGTGTGTTCGCACTCGCGTCAGACAACGGGCACGAGTGTAAGACAGCTCACGCTGCGCATGACAGCTCTCGGCGCAAGAAGGGCCCGTGAGCCACCTGCGCGGCAGCCAACCGAGCACGGCTCATTGCAGATCTCCGCAACCGCAACCCTGCCTCACAGTCTACACGTCGAGCAGAGGCGCCCGCGTGACGTGCCAAGACTGCGTGGCCCGCGCTGCGGTCAGGGAGCCCGTAGACCGACACGAGGCAGGTGCTGCCCGCTCTGCAGGCACCACGGCGCTCAACTCCGCCGCCGTGCCCCCCCCGGCACTTTGGGGCGTGCCACAGGCCTCGGCACGAATTGGCGAACACGTGCCACACTCAACGGTCAACGCCTCCCCCTCCCCCAAAGGTTCAAAGTTGGCGGGTGAGTCTGATGAGATGCACTCCGACCGCAGTCTCCCCCGCGCGTGCCAACATTGAATTTGGGGGGGAGGGGGAGTGTTCAGAAATTGTTTCCCTCTACCGTAGAGCGCTAAGAGAGCGACGACCAGAGGCGGATACTGCGCGAGATGGCACGGCGGCCGTACGCCGCAGCCTTGCGCGCAGGGGCCGCCAGCGCAGCGCGCCACCTTGGCAACGAGAGGGCGCCTACGCGCGACCCTGACGCGGGGAGCTCACGCGCCAATGCCGGCGAGGACGACCCGGTTTTTCGGCGCCGCTCGAGTGCTGCCTGGCACGATGGGGTAGGTTCTCTTCTGCCCCCCCCCCGCTCTCGTCGCGCTGGCCCGTGAGCAGCGGTCCCCCCCCATCCCGAGGCCACAGCCGTCCACAAAACGCAGCAAGATCGCGCTCCCGAGGCCAAGATGCCTCCACGACGGCCCGCAGTTGGCCTCAAGCCGGCCCAAGGTAGCCTCAACATAGCCCACGAAGCCTTCAAGGCGTCCCGAGGGAGCCCCACAAGCCGTCCTAAGAGGACCACGGGAGGCACAATTCCTTGCTGGCCCTTGGGTGCTTCAATGTGTTTTGGGTTCTCGCCCTTTGGAGCTTCCGACGTGCCAAGGCGACCCAAGAGACCCCCAATACTGCCCCGAGACGGCCCAAGAAGCCCCCAAGAGAGCGCTAAAATGGCCCAAAAAGGCTCGAAGACGGCCCCCCAAAAAGGCCCAGCAAGAAACGCACGAACCGAGAATTCGAGCCTTCCGCCCCTCGAATCCCCCAGCAAGCCCCAGGAGGCCCAAACGAGGCGCCCAAGAGGGCACCGAGAAGCAACCATCCTTGCTTGCCCCTAGGTTTTTCCCAGTCTGGGGGCTCTCGCCTTTTCGAGCTTCTGACGCGCCAACGAGGCCCAAGAGCACAAGAAGCATCCAGGATTGCCTAAGATGGCTCCAAGACAGCCCAGCAGGCGCCGACGACGGCCCAAGAGGGCCCCAAGACGCGTCTAAAAAGGACCCAAAAGGGGAACGCGAACCGACAATTCGAGCCTTCCGCCTCAAGAGGCCCCCAAGAGACCCGAAGGGGCTTAATAGAGGCCCCCAAGGGGCCCCAATACTGCCCAGAAGATGCCCCAAGACTGCCCAAATGAGATCCATGAGGGCCCGTCAAGGAACAAGACGAACGGTGTCGCATGTGACGGCGTCCGTCCTCGTCGTCCTCCTCCTCCTTGTCGTCGTCCTGCTCCTTCTCCTCCTCCCCCTTCTCCTCAATCGAAGCATCATCATCACCACCACCACCACCACCACCATCATCATCATCATCATCATCATCATCATCATCATCATCATCATCATCATCATCATCGTCAACAGCAATATCATCATCATCATCATCATCATCATCATCATCGCCATCATCAGCACCATCATCGTCATCAGCATCATTATCATCATCATTATCACCATCACCATCATCACCATCATCGTCAGCACCATCATCATCATCATCATCATCATCATCATCATCATCATCATCGTCCTCATCCTCATCCTCATCCCCATCCTCCCCCTTCTCCTCATCCTCATCATCCTCCTCATCCTCATCATCATCAGCAGCATCACCACCACCATCACCATCACCATCACCATCCTCACCATTATTATCAGCATCGTCATCATCATCATCATCAGCAGCAGCAGCATCGTCATCATCATCATCAGCATCGTCAACATTATCAGCAGCAGCAGCATCAGCATCACCATCACCATCATCAGTATCATCATCAGCAGACTTATCAGCATCATCAGCATTCACATCATCAGAATCGTCAGCATCACCATCATCATCGTCGCCATCATCATCACCACCATCAGCACCATCACCTTCATCACCACCATCAGTATGACCATCAGCATCATGAGCACCAGCAGCATTATCACCATCGCCGTCGTCGCCATCATCATCGCATAGACCATCACGCATCCTTATCCTGACCATCATTGTCATCATCATCACCGATACCGTAACCATTATCAACATCCTCATCACCACCATCAGCATCATCTCCATAACCACCACCACCATCATCATCATCATCATCATCATCACCATCATGTTCATCATCATCACTACCATCATGATCATCATCAGCATCACCATCATAGTCATCATCAATACCATAAACATTTTCAACATCCTCATGACCACCATCATCATTATCACAACCAGTATCACCATCATAATCATGATCATCATCATCACTATCACCATCATCACCACCACCACCATCATTATCCTCATCATCAGCATCATCATCAGCATAATCATCATCATCGTCATCACCATCATCATCATCATCATCAGCATCAGTATCATCATCATCATCATCGTCAACATCATCATCATCATCATCATCAGCATCATCATTATCATCATCAGCATAATCATCATCACAATCACCCTGATGGGCTCACAGCCGTCGATCACAGCCAAGGTGTCACACGTGACGGCGTCAAACACCTTGCTTCCAGAACCCTCCACAACGGCCCCACGTAACGCGCGCCACGTGTTACGGCTCTCCGAAGACCAGAGATACAAGACATCACACGTTAGGACCTCCGTGCTCCCCCGCGCGCAGACAACCGAGAAAGCCTAGCCGGCACGGTGGCCAGACTTGCCGCGGGCAGCTGGATGACGGTATCGGCATGTAAGCCCATCCAATGAAACCAAGAGGAACCACTGTGCGCTCGCGAACGAGGGGCAGTTCTAGAGAAGCAGCCATTCTACCTCGACGGAGGCGCAGCCCTCTTTTCTGGCCCTTGCCCAAGATCTGGCGACACACTGAACAGTGAAGGCCTTCAACGGATGCGCGCGGGTGCGGCATGCCGGGGGAAGGGAACAAGAGAGGACCAGGCAAGGAACCTCGGGCCAGAATGATGGGCCCATTTTCCACCATCACTACCATAGGTCGGAGAGGGAGGAGGAGGAAGGAGGAGGAAGGAGGAGGAGGAGGAGGAGGAGGAGGAGGAGGAGGGGGAGGACCTCCTCATCCTCCCTTCTCCCCCGTCCTGCATGTGTGAAGGGGCCCTGGGACACACAAATAACTACACACAAATCAAAAGATCCCCCTTATTTTCCAATATTTTCTGGGTTTTCGCCTTCCCCCCCCCACTTCCCACATTTTCGTATATTTTCGGGGGAATCAACGATTCATTGTGTCTGTGTGTTTTTTCCCCTCCTGAATGTGGTAGTGGTGGTGGGACATGTGCCCACCACAGCATACGCCGCAGACTGAGCACGGAGGAAGGAGGAGGAGGAGGAGGAGGAGGAGGAGGACCTCCTCATCCTCCCTCCTCCCCCGTCCTGCATGTGGTGGTGGTGGTGGTGGTGGTGGTGGTGGGATGTGTGCCCACCACGGCATACGCCGCAGACCGAGCACCGCAGCGACCCCCTCGGGCAGGACCAGAAGCGCACTACCCGAGCGGAGCGCGCCCGCGGGCGGCTCCGCGGCCCGGAGGGGGGGAGACCCCCCCGCGGGCCCTGGGCGCGGGAGCCGCCGGAGGCACGCGGCGGGGGGGCCCGCCTGGGCATCGCGTACTCCAGATTTCGTAATAAAGGGAGGGGGGTCTCATTTCGGGGGGGGTCTCTTCCAGGCTATCTTGGAGGGCCTGGGGTGGTCTCGGGACGATGTTTTGGAGGGTTCTCCCACGAGGGGGGGTCTGAAATGGCTTGTCTTGGAGGGTCCAGACCCCCTCCCTTTTATGACGAAATCTGGAGTACCCGACCCCCATCCCCAGGAGCGTGGCCTGGGCCCCAGTGGCCGACTTAGCCCCCTGGACGGGGGCATTGGCCGTTCCCTTCGGGCTGCGAGAGGTGCATCCCCAGCTGGGGTGCCAGGGTGCTGGGGGTCGGGGATGGGGCTGGGGATCGGCGGAACGAGTCCGACCGCCTCAGATCCGCGGCACTGCTGCGCTCACGGTGGCGCCCTGCCCGGCCACTGCGCGGGCGAGCGGAAGCCGCGCGGCCCAGATGCGCTCGGCGGCCACCTCGGACGCACAGCACAGGAAGCCCGCAGCGAAGGCGACTCGCTCGGAAGCCTTCTCCACCGCGTGGCCGGCAGCCTCCTCAGAAGAAGCAGAACGGAAGAAACCTAAACTCTTGGCGCTTCGCGTGGACTTCTTGGACCTGCGCTGGGCCCCCCCCTCCCCTGCGCGCTCCGCGCGCCAGGGGCGGCCGGAGGCGCCGCTGGGGGGGGGGCTCAGCGCGGATCCAAGAATTCCGCACGGAGCGCCAAAAGCTAATTTTTACGGCGTTTATTTTTTCTTGGACTCCTTCAGCATGGTGCACGACGCCTCCAAGCTGCTGCGCCTGCCGCCAACCAGTGTCGCCTCTCGGCGGCGCATCCCAGGGGGGAAACCAGAAGGGGCGGGCTTTCTCAGGAGGCTCGAAGTCCCCTGGCCTTCTGGGAAGTTTACTGCGCTCTCCCCTATCGGGAGCGGCCAAGAGGGGGGTGCCCAAGAGGGGGGGGGTGCAAATCATGACCGGCGGCATGTGCGCGGCCCAGCGGGGGGGCCAGGAACGTAATGAAATAAGAAGAGGCGCCATGAAATCTGGGGAAATATCATGACCCACGCCATGATATCCACCCCCCTAGTCACCCCGCCCCCCTCTTTTCCGCCCCCGACCCTGAGGCACAATCCTTCCTCGGATGGGGGGCGAGGGCCTCTGAGAGGCCACGCCGCCTTCCGGGGAGCAGGCCTTCCCCTTGGGGGGCGGAAAGATACGGATACGTGTTGTCCCCGGACCTCCCTTGGGGTGCGTTCTGACCAGAATTTCGAGGCGAATCCAGCGGTGACAACGAGGATTCCCCAGGAGGACCAAGAAAGGCCGAAAACGACGGGGGACAACACGTATCCGTATCTTTTTCTCCCCCGATCCCCTCCTCTCGCTTCCCCCCCCTCTGCTCGCCAGCGGGCCTCGTGCGCCGCGCGCACCACGCCGTCGGCACGGCGCCCGGCGCCCGCGGCGCAGCCCGCGGCGCTCGCGGCGGCGGCGCGCGCCGCCCTCCGTGCCGCCCGGGCCGCGGGGGGCGCGGCAGCCTGCGCGGCGCGGGCCGCGGGCGCCAGGGCGCGCGACAGGCTGCTGGCGGCCGCGTCGGCCGTGCGGATTCAGAAGGAGAACAAAAACGGCACAAACATACGCGCTGGACACACACACACACACAATACACACACACACCTCCTCCTCCTCCTCCTCCTCCTCCTCCTCCTCCTCCTCCTCCTCCACCTCCTCCACCTCCTCCTCCTCCTCCTCCCCCTCCTCCTCCTCCTCCTCCTCCTCCTCCTCCTCCTCCTCCTCGCTCCGCGCGGACTTGATTTCTTGGATCTGCGCTGGGCCCCCCATCCCTGGCCGGGTCGGCGCCAGAGGCGCCGCCAGGGAGGGGGGGGGGGCAGCGCGGATCCAGGAAATCCGCACGGAGCGCCAAAAGCTCATGTTCGATGGGCCGATTTTTCACCACCACCACTGTATGTAGGAGAGGAGGAGGAGGAGGAGGAGGAGGAGGAGGAGGAGGAGGAGGAGGAGGAGGAGGAGGAGGAGGAGGAGGAGGAGGAGGAGGGAGGAGGAGGAAAAGAGGAGGAGAGGAGGAGGCGGAGGAGGAGGAGGAGGAGGAGGACATCCGCCTAAGGGGGTGCAACGTCAAAACACCTACGCTGGTGTCTTGCGCACTTCTGCCAACATCCCATGCGATTGATTGTGCAACAGCCCTGCCTTCTCCTCGCTAGGGCCGGCAGGGGGCATACCACGTTGCTCAAGGACTGAGCTCCGAGGTGACCCCGCGGAGGAGGAGGAGGAGGAGGAAAAGGAGGAGGAGGAGGAGGAGAAGGAGGAGGAGGGGGAGAAGGAGGAGAAGGAATAGGAGGAGGAGGAACCGGAGGACCTCTCCCGTCCTCCCCATGCTAGTGGTGGTGGAGCACTGGCCCCTCAATGTTTATGCAGTATGTCCTTCTTCGATGGCCTCCGTCGCAATCTTGAGGGCCCGCTGGGCACCCGCCGACAGCTCGCCCTGGGCCTCGGGGCTCGCCGCGGCGGAGGCCTGGGCCTGCTTGGCCGGCGGCTCGCAGCAGGAGGGGGGGGGGCCAGGCGGGGAGGGCCGGCATCCCGAGGCGGCGCGGGCGCCTCCGCTTCGGAAGGCCGCCCCCCGATCGCCCCGCCGCTCGGGCGTGGACTGACAACTCGTGGTGGACCGATCTTCCACCACCGCTGCCACAGGCAGGACGGGGGAGAAGAGAGGATGGGGAGCTCCTCCTCCTCCTCCTCCTCCTCCTCCTCCTCCTCTTCCTCCCCCCCCTCCTCCTCCTCCTCCTCCTCCTCCTCCTCCTCCTCCTCCTCCTCCTCCTCCTCCTCCTCCTCCTCCTCCTCCTCCTCCTCCTCCTCCGCCTCCGCGTGGTGGTGGAAAATGGGCCCATCAACTCTGCTCAGCGCAAGCCCGGCTCGGCCAGTGCAGGAAAAGCTGCGCTGCAATCTTGCGGGGGGGGGTCTTCCCACACCCTGCTCCACAGCCCATCGCGAAGGCCACCTCCAGAACCACGAGCAACTCCCAGCCCCGTCTCAGCCCCAATCCTGCTTCTGTGCAAGATCCTGCAGGTCCCAGAGCACGGCGCCCCTGCTGAGCCCCCTTTGCGCCGAGCCCGCTCAACTACATGCTGGCAGCCCTGCCCCCTCGTGCGAACCGCCCGCCTTCCTGGCATAGGGGGAAGCAAGTCCTTGCGGGAAACGGGTCCTGGACCCGGGGGCCTCCCCCAGGACGAGCTCTTCCTCCTGAGCCGTTTACAGTCCCGGGGCCCGTCGAGGGCCCCGAGAGCCCGAGCACGGCGAACCACCTCAGGACCCGTTCCCCTCAGAACCCGCTTCCCCTCTGGCGACACATGCTGGCAGCTCTGCCCCCTCTCCTCTGTAGAAGAAGAGCAAGCGCCGTCAGAAGCATACGTAAACTTTCGGCGCTCCGCGCGGATTTCTTGGCTCCGCGCTGGACCCCCCCTCCCCGGCGCGCGGAGCGCGCCAGGGGCGGCGCCAGAGGCGCCGCCGGGAGGGGGGGGCCCAGCGCGGATCCAAGAAGTCCGCGCGGAGCGCCAAAAGCTTATGTTTATAGGGGGCAAACAAACCTACCTCGCTTTTGACCACCCTCGCTTCCAAGAGCTACCAGGCGATGCCAAACTGCGGCACGCACCGGTCAGGCCACTCGACGGGGAGGGCGCGTGGTAGGACGCGGTTCTGCCTGGAAGCGAAAAATCGGGGTAGGTAATAACTATACGATCAATACCAACAACTGTACTATCAATACTGGCAAGAGCGGCCCAAACATAAGCTCTTGGCAAAAGCTTATGCTTAGGCCGCTCTTGCTTCTCTTCGACTCTCGCGAGCCGCCCGCCTCCCCCGACGCGCGGCCCCCGAAGGCCCGCGCGGCGCCGCGCGGCCCCGGCCACGCGGGGCGGCCCGCCGCCGCCGCGCCCGCGAGCAGCAGCGCCCCCCGCGCGGGCCGGCGCAGAGCCGGCCGCCCCGCCGCGCGCGCGCGCCCGCGCGCGCGCCCGGCCGCCGCCGCCGCGCGGCCGGGGGCGCCCCCGGGCGCCCGCGGCGGAGCCGGCAT